GGGGTAAATTCCCCTTTGCCCAATTTTAGAGGAGTTTTTGGGGGGTAAATTCTTCCTTTTCCCCATTTTAGGAGAGGTTTTTTGGGGGTAGTCCCCCTTTTGTTTTATTTTAGAGGGGTTTGGGGTGGATAAATCCCCCTTTTTCTCCATTTTAGGAGAGTTTTTTGGGGGTAAATCTCCTTTTTCCCCATTTTAGGGGGGTTTGGGAGGGTAAATCCTCCTTTTTCCCTGTTTTAGGGGTTTTTTTTTGAGATAAATCCTCCTTTTTCCTTATTATAGGGGGATTTGGGGTGGGTAAATCCCCCTTTTTCCCCATATTAGGAGAGGTTTTTAGGGGTAAATCCCCCTTTTTCCCTGTTTTAAGGGGGATTTGGGAAGGTAAATCCTCCTTCTTTCCCATTTTAGGAGAATTTTGGGGGGTAAATCCTTTGTTTTCTCTGTTTTAGGGGGGTTTGGGGTGGGTAAATCCCCCTTTTTCCCCATTTTAGGAGAGGTTTTTTTGGGGGTAAATCCCTCTTTTTCCCCATTTCAGGTGTTTTTTGGGTGGGTAAATCCCCCCTTTTCCCCGTTTTGGGGGGTTTGTGTTCCCCCCCTTTTTTGGGGGCTCTGTCCCACCCCTTTCCCACCATTCCAGGAGGATTTGGACCAGGAGAAGATCCGGGAACTCGTCATTTCCATGAGGCAGCAAATCCACGCCCAGAACGAGGCCGAGGTCGGGAAGCGCTGGAACTTCGAGGACGGGGTGGGTAAAACTGGGATTAAATCCCCCCTGGAATGGGGTAAAACTGGGATTAAATCCCCCCTGGAGGATAAAACTAGGATTAAATCCTCCTAAAATCCATCTGGAATAGGGTAAAACTGGGATTAAATCCCCCCAAAGGTTTAACTGGGCTTAAATCCCCCCAAAATCCCATCTGGAATAGGGTAAAGTTTGGCTTTTATTGGGAGTCATGGATTGTCCTCGCAAATAATCGGAATTATTGGGACTCTGCTGATCCCTGGGGGGTCCTTCCAGCTGGGAATACTTTGGGATTCTGGGATGATCCCACCCCAAACCCCTTCCAGGTTGGAATACTCTGGGATTCTGGGATGATTCCCCCCACAAACCCCTTCCAGCCTGGAATACTCTGGGATTCTGGGATGATTCCCCCCCAAACCCCCTCCCAAACCCCTTCCAGGCTGGAATACTCTGGGATTCCAAGATGATTCCACCCCAAACCCCTTCCAGGCTGGAATACTCTGGGATTCTGGGATGATTCCCCCCAAACCCCCCCCAAACCCCTTGGAATTCTCTGCCTGGATTTGAGGTTTTTATTTGGAATCATTGACTGTCCTCACAAATAATCAGAATTATTGGGACTCTGCTGATCCCTGGGGGGTCCTTCCAGCCTGGAATACTCCGGGATTCCAGGATGATTCCCCCCCAAACCCCTGAGAACGTTGGGATTCCGTGCCCACCCCCGAGGCCCCCTCGGAGCCGGAATTTTGGCCGCCCCCCAACCCCCTCGGAACGTTGGGATTCCGGGACGATTCCTGGTGGAATTCCCGACCCCCCGTGTGTCTCCCATGCAGATCAAGCGTCCGTATTTCCACGTGAAGCCCCTGGAGCGGGCTCAGCTGCGGAACTGGCGGGAATACCTGGACTTCGAGGTGGCCTCGGGGAACCACGAGAGAACCATCGTCCTGTTCGAGCGCTGCGTCATCGCCTGCGCCCTCTACGAGGAGTTCTGGATCAAGGTGGGCCCCAAATCCCCATCCCAATCCCGCCATTCCAGCCTGGGAGAGGCCTTCCCCCTTTTTCCCTCTTTTTTCCCTGTTTTTCCTCCACATTTCTCTTTTTTTCCCTCTTTTTTTCCAATTTTCCCTCTTTTTTTACCCATTTTTCTCTCTTTTTTCCCCATTTTCCTCCACATTTCCTTTTTTCCCAATTTTTTCTCTTTTTTCTCCCATTTTTCCCTTTTTTCCCCTCTTTTTTCCCCCGTTTCCATCTTTTTTCCAGCTTTTTCCCCTGTTTTTTTCCAATTTTTTCTCTTTTTTCTCCCATTTTTCCCTTTTTTCCCTCTTTTTCCCCCCATGTTTCCATCTTTTTTTCCGTCTTTTTCCCCTGTTTTTTTCCAACTTTTTCTCTTTTTTCCCCCATTTCCCCCCAATTTTCCCTCTTTTTTTCCAGTTTTCCCTCTTTTTCCCCCCTTTTTTTCTCTTTTCCCCCCATTTTTTCTCCTTCTCCCCCCCTTTTTTCCCCATTTTTCCCTCTTTTTTCCCTAAATTTCTCTCCATTTTTCCCCCATGCTTCCCTCTTTTTTCTCTTTTTTCCAATTTTCCCTCTTTTTACTCCCCATTTTCTTTTTCTCCCCCCATTTTTTCCATGTTTCCCTCTTTTTTCCCATTTCCCCCATGTTTCTCTCTTTTTCCCTCATTTTTCCCTCTTTTTTCCCCATTCCCCCCTTTTCTCTCCCACCTTTCCTCATTTTCCCCTCTTCCCCCCCCTTTTTCCCCCCATATTTCCCAATTTTCCCTCGTTTTTTTTCCTATTCCTCCTCCTTTTTCCCCCTTTTCCCCCTTTTTTTCCCATTTCTTCCCCTTTTCCCCCCATAATTTCCCCATTTCTTCCCCTTTTCCCCCCTTTTCCCCCCCTTTTCCCCGTCTCCCCTGGGTTGATCCCGTTGTTGTTCCCAGTACACACGGTATTTGGAGTCCCGGACGGTTCCGGGGGCCCGGAGTGTTTTCCAGAGGGCCTGTGGCTTCCACCTGCCCCGCAAACCCAACATCCACCTGCTCTGGGCGGCCTTCGAGGAGAAACAAGGTCAGGGGGGACCCCAAAATCTGGGATCAGGACCCAAAATCTGGGATTGGGCCCCGAAATCTGGGACTGGGCCCCAAAACCTGGGATCGGGCCCCAAAAAACCCCAGGGGGAGCCCTGAAATCCAAGATTGGGCCCCAAATTTGGGGGGGGAGCCCCAAAATCCAGGATCGGGCCCCAAAATCCAGGATTGGGCCCCAAAGCCCAGGATGAGGCTTAAAATCCAGGATTGAGCCCCAAAATCTGGCACATCCTGCGGGGCTTCGAGGCAGCGGTGCCAGGCCTGGTCATGGTGCCTTGAGCCTGGGGACCCCATAACCCCTCATAACCCCCACAGGGACCCCCATAACCCCTGAATGA